TTTAATAATTTTTGCTTTTTGTTTTTTTTTTATTTTGTTTAAATCAGATCTTCAAGCACGTTTGAGTGTAAGTCAAGATGAAGGTCATGTTTTATTAGATCGATCAATAACTACTGAAAGTAGAAATGAAAAACTTCTATTAGAAAATGGTCAATTAGCAAAAAAGAATTCAGATTTAGAATCTGCTTTACAAGAAATAGCACGTGAATATCAAACTCTTCAAGTAAAAATAACATAATATATACGTATCTTTTTTTTATCTATTAAATTATATTTTTTAAATAAATTAGATTCATGCAAATAAACTAACTCAACGTCGATGGTTAAATGATCAGGATGTACATGAATGTATGAAATGTAATCAATTATTTACTCTTACACAACGTAAACATCATTGTCGAAGTTGTGGAAATATATTTTGTGATGTATGTTCATCAAAAACAGCTGTTGTTGCAGCATCATCAAAAAAACCTCAACGAGTTTGTGATCAATGCTTTAAAGAATTAACTTCTTAATATGCAATATTCATTTTATTGATATTATTTTAAATATACATATATTTGTATCAGTGTTTTTTTTTTGTTTTCATACTGGTCGCCGGGCAATAAAAAATACAGTGAAACAAATAGATATATATATATATACACATATTCTACAGGGTGGCTAAAAATGTTTTTCAAGGGGAGTAACACTATAATTTCAAATAGAGCCAGTAATGGATTATAGATCAAATTAAAGCGCGTCGAAAATGGGATTTTTTGATATTAATTTGTAAGAATTATCAAAACCTTTTGATGTCGAAATTAAGAAATTTTATGCATTTTTGGCATAGAAAACTTAGGCGTCAGTGATTTAAAAATGGATTCTAGTATTTTCTTTTGATATTTTTACATGGTTCAATAGAGCTCGTCGAGTTCTACAAAGCTGTATATATTAAAGAATTTTTAAGCCAACTTTCTGAGATAAATAAATTAAAAAACCACTTGGAAAATGCTAAAAAACGTTAAAAAACTCGTTTTTTTTCATTTGAAAGAAAAATACTCGTCTTTTCAATAAAAATAGCTTTTTTCCTTATTTTCACTAATAGAGACATTTCGAAATGTTATCACTAGACGCAGTTTTTCACGCTGTATCTGGTGGTTACATTTCGAAATGTCTCTATTAGTGAAAATAAGGAAAAAAGCTATTTTTATTGAAAAAACGAGTTTTTTAACATTTTTTAGCATTTTCCAAGTGGTTTTTTAATTTATTTATCTCAGAAAGTTGGCTTAAAAATTTTTTAATATATACAGTTTTGTAGAGCTCGACGAGCTCTATTGAACCATGTAAAAATATCAAAAGAAAATACTAGAATCCATTTTTAAATCACTGACGCCTTAGTTTCCTACGCCAAAAATGCATAAAATTTCTTAATTTCGACATCAAAAGGTTTTGACAACTCGTACAATTTAGTATCAAAAAAATCCCATTTTTGACGCGCTTTAATTTGATCTAAAATCCATTACTGACTCTATTTGAAATTATAGTGTTACTCCCCTGGAAAAACATTTTTGGCCACCCTGTAGATGTAAATGCATAAATTTTCATTTTTAATAATGGATATAAAAATATCATCAATAGCTTATATTTATATTCAACGATCTTACTTACATTGTAATAATGGTTTTCATACATAGGTGTATAAGGAAAGTTCTATTTTTTTTTGTTTGTATTCACTAATAGCAAAACCTGTTTTCCATCGATTTTGACAACTGAATATATTCCGATAAACTCGAAGAATTCTTATGATTAACATCATTAGTTTCGAAACGAAAAAAAACAACACTTTCAATTCTTAACATTTCGAGGTCATGAAATCTTTTGAAATTTTCGGAAATCGCTTAGCTCATGGCAAATTTTTAATGCGGTGCGAAGCAGAGCATTTCTGTAGTCAGTCGTGTACGCATTCGATCTATGTGTTTTGCTGTAACAAAATCTAGATTTTGTGATGCGGTGTTCTAAAGAACGGTTGCGATTTGCTAATAATTCGTTTGAACTATGTCCAGGAGATCCATGTTTCGAGATGATATAAATGTTTTTGAATCTCTACTATGAGTTTCTTCACATCTTCAATAAGTTCCGCAGAAAGGCAATTTTGATGATTTCGCCTTCTTCTTTCACCCGAGATAATTAAAAGTGGTGAAAACTAGTCTCCAGTCAGGTAAATCGCCAGCTCCTATGTTAATTGAAGCCTCATCGCCCAAAGTTGAGATGGGTGAGTGTGAGTGTGGATGTGGGTGAGATTGTGGTTGCGGGGTGTCGGTGTGGGTGAGCGTGTTGGTATGGAGTGTGGGGTGTGAGTGTTGGTTAAGTGAACGCTGGTACTGACACCACACTCACACCTGCAAACACACCAAAACCCACGCTCAGGTCCATACGCACACTGAGATCCACACTCACGCCCACGTCCGTGCCCATTCCCATACCCGCACCCTATAGACAACCATGCCAATTTAAATTTAACTTAAATTAATTAAAATGGAACTTAAGCTACGTTAGATATATTTAGATGTAACTTATATTTATTTAAATTTTTTTAAGTTTATGCAAATTCTACTTAAATTTAAAATAAGTTTAAATTCTTATGTGAAATACATTTAAATATACAAACGACTACTGAAGAAAAGTAATATTGCATTTTTTCCTTTGTTTCTTTCGATGTCATTGCATCTCATCAAGAGTTTATTGCCACTGGCTGTCTCTTTACATCTACCGAGTTGACGTCTTTAAATCAAATAAAAATGCATTAAAATCAATTCAACACTGTTTATTACATTACATTCATTTCGTCTCTTTATAGTCATAGATTTACAATCATCTAGTGTCGCAAAAATCTATGCCGTATATGAGAACTGTAAGAAATCATCTGAGTAATACAATGAGATCGATTTTTGCAATGATTTCATTTCAGAAAAAAAACGAGACAATATGAAATATTTTCTCTCGTAAATTTAAATTCACGTATTGTGCTCAGTCAGCACACTAAAATAAAATGTGTCGCGCGCGATAATATTACAGACTGTACTACAAAAATGTGTTGCGATCTATTGGCGAATCATTCATTTATCGTTTTGTTTTGCGCATATAATGGCATATAGCTAAAGCGAGGAAACGTATTGAATTTATACATTTTCGTACAACTGTTTTTGAGATTATTTCTCGCTCAACATTTAGTCGAGAATATGTTGAGAGATCGATCAATACTCGAGATTGCATCACTTCAAGGTGGTCTCATCGAGATCAAATCGAGTCGAAGTGGCTGAATCTTAGAATATTATCGTCTTGTATTTCAAGAGAAGGCACTAATAATTCAAATTAAACCGGAAAAATACTAGAATGTGGACGTGGATGTGGGATATGGATGAAGAGAAACACTCTTTATACTTGAAAAAAAAAGTTTTATTAGTTGAAACTTTCGATATTTTTTTTTCTTTCGGACTTCTACAACACACCAAATATTCTAATATAAATGTAATAAGAAAAATGAATTTTAAAAACAACAAAAATTCTTTTACTATATTTATATAATAGGTAGCAGTTTTTGTATCGTGCAAAAATTTCATGTGATTTCTAAGGTTTCTTGAAGTTTTTTGGAATCTTTGTTATTGAGTCCACTGTTTTTCTCTTAGGAAAACATAATTCGAAATTAAATATACTGATAAGATTGAATAATTTCATTTTTATGAATGTTTTCTTCTATCATTCTAAACATTCCGAATCAACTCAAACAATAATATGAAATAGAAAAAAGAGAATAGTTTTTTGCTGAACAACTATAAAATCAAAAAATAGTATCTTATTTATTAGTTAATGTATTAGATTTTGAAATATTGTCTTAAAATTTTCATTAAGTAGAACAAATTGTTTATCCGATTCTTCACGCGATACCAATTTTCTACCTTCATCTGAACGTTTATAACCAATTTCTTGTTCACCTTTTTTTATACGTTCAAATGTAGCTTGACAATAATCATCAAGTGGTTCACCAAATGCATGACTACCACCAAGATTTGTTTGAACAGCTGGTGGTACTATTTCATAAACTTGAATATTTGGTATTTCATTGATCAATTGATATCGAAGACTCATTGTAAATGAATGTATTGCTGCTTTTGTTGCTGAATAAATTGGTATTAATGCTAATGGTGTAAATGCTAAACCTGATGAAACATTAATAATAGCTGTTGTTGTTTTCATTTGACGAAAATGTGTTATAAATAAATGAGATAAATGCATAGGTGCACATATATTAATATGAATTTCTTTTTCTCGTTCTTCCCATGAAACATTTTTTGAAGAAACTTCATGTGGAATAAATGGATGACGTTGTTGAATACCTGCATTATTAATAAGAATATTTGTTCGAGGATATTCACGTGTTATCCAATCATATAAAGCTAATCTATCGTCGATTTTTTGAACATCATTAATACGATAAATGACTTTATTATTTTCAATACGATTCAATTCTGCTACCGCGTCTTTCAATTGTTGTTCACGACGACCAGTTATTATAACTGAAGCACCTGCTTGAACAAAGCATCGTGCAAGACCAAGGCCAATACCACTTGAACCACCTGTAATAAGAACAGTTGAAGATGAAATATCAAGTGGTTCAGAATAAGATTCATCAGCCATTGATTTCTATTTAATAGAATATATCACAATATATTCAATAAAGGAAAGAAAAACAACTGCGTAAATATAAGAAAGTAGAATGGCTTTATGCAGAATGCGTTATCATATTGATATTTATAGAACCCACATGTCTGTCTGTGTGTTTTTTTTTCTTTTTCTGTAGTACTCGTTGTCCGTTATGTATTCTTTATCATTTGCTCCGCTGTATTTAGTCGTGTTTTATTTATTACGACTATAGAATGTAAAAAGGAAAGACAATCTTGGCAGACATCTTTATGAGTGCAAGATATTAAACTAGAATATCAGTTAACAATGTTACCTTTCGTTAGTAATTCTGTTATAATGATTTTTTTAATTTATTTTGTAATAAATTTTTTAAAATATTATCAATTTACGTGTACTAATTCTAATACATGACTTTATGACACTGCATCGTAAACTTTTTTTTTAAATAGTTTTCTTGAACTATTAAAATAAAATATTCGATCTAAAAAGCTTTTTTTCATCATTAGTATATTCTTGATTGTCGAAGATGTTGACTTGCTACTGTTATCAGTGTACTAACGAATACTTTGGCTATTTTAATACCTGATAAAACGATCGTAATTTGACAAGAATTTTAATTCAAATTTAATACAATAGTTACATTTTTTCCTCCTCTATAACAAACAAAGATGTTAAAATGATTTCATGCATTGAAAATCATTGAGTATGCGAGATGTGCACATTTTTCTTCTCTCCATCTTTATAGTACGAAAACCAGGGTTTGTATATATATATATATCAATAATGAAAACACAGACAAAATTTAAAGGTCAATCGAGGACAAAGAAAAGAAGTAAAACGATATCATTGAGAAGATCATTTGATGAAGAAAGAGATGATGAAAAAGAAAAGAAGAAAAGATCATAAAGAAAATCGAAGTGCATGATATAGTAATAGACTGTAACAATATATACAATAAAAATAAAAGCGAAATATCAAAAAGTTAAAAAAACAAATTCACTGTTTCTTATGAATGTTTCAAATGTATATCTAGCAAAATATCTAATATTTTTAATGCGTATATTCTTTTCTTATAGGATTCTCAATCTACATTTATCATATACACAGTAGATTAGGAGCAAAATGAAAAATTTTATTTTTATTATCATCACTGAAAAATATCTCCTATACGTCAAATATTAATAGAGTATTGATATTAGTTCATATTGTTGACTGATTTGTAAGTAGAGTCTATGTAATATGAAATTTCGGATTTCGATGATTAGTTGCTATGAAATTTCAAACGATAAATGATAGATTATTATAAGATAAACTATCGACAGATATTCTATAATGTCAAAAACATATTTAAATCAATGCTTTATTACATTTGATTATATATTTAAAACAATATTATATAGTATTAAAATAAATTGCTGATATCGACATTTATGATTTGCTTTTAAATCTCTCAAATAAAATTGAATAAGACGTAAATATTGTTTCATTATATATTCAAACTGAATATAAAATATCAGATATTATATTAAGTATTGTAAATAAAATTTTTCCTTCTTTGGAATACTTTAAAATACTTATTGGATATTAAAAAACTCTCATTTTTCGATGTAATAGCATATTTTGATTCAATCGATATTATAATAAAGAATCAAATTTATATTTTTACTGTTAAATAAATTTCTTAAACCACCATAAAACACAACTAAAAGTAAATGATTAACTGAATTAATTGAAATGTTGAATTGGCAATATTCACTAATGGTGATTATTGAACTTGTTGAATAAATTATTCTAGATTAGAACAACATAAAACATGCAAAAATTGAAAAAGAATTAATGTGGAATAAGTGCATACTCAATCATTTTTGAAGAGTTAATCATTGAAATAAAAATCATGCATTAGCATTGATTTATTCATATAACTATATTGAATTACTTATTTTTACTAGATAACCTTTATCAATATGACCGATTATTAGAACGAGCAATACTATTCTATTACGAATGATTATTAAAAAGAAAGATATTAGCACAATCCCTGTGGGATTAAGAAATGAAATACAATGGAGCTATTGATATTATCAAAGGGAGAACTCATTAACATACGGTGATGTATTCAATTATTCATTTTTTTTTAATCATAGGCACATTTGAATGCAATACGACATTATAAAAAACAAAAACAAATTGAAATTAGATTTTTAAAAAAATTTGCAATTGGTACCTTCAAAAGTCATTTCTTCATAATAAGTAAAAGCTTGATAGTTCCTACATCGTTGCAAATTTTTAGACCATTTATAAAGATTCTGGAACATAATCAAAATTAACTATGTCAGTTTCAAATAAAAGTAAACAAGTTCTTTAAATCTATTTAAAACTAAATGAAATGGAATAGAATTTTGATAATAACACGCTTCATAATGAATATTGAAACTTGTAAAACGAGATTGTATGTATTAGAATACATGTTTTAAGAATATATCAGTCTTTTTTATAAAATATATGAATATACTCAAAAGACACAATAGTACCGTACGTAATTACAGTATCATCCGATGATTTTATGAATATCGAAATTCTTTCAGTAAAATATAGATTATTCAAATGTACTATTTTTATCTACTATATCTTTTTTACTTGTTTCATATGTCTTGCTTGTAGTAAACAGAATGTATAATTATTTTGGATTTCAATCGTACAATTGAACTTGATAGATGAATGACTTATAATCGTTCTCTATTAATTATTTTGTGATCAACCTGCTTATCATTAGAATATGATCTAATGTACATTATTAAAACTTTGTTTCTTAACAGAATGAATATTTTGATATATACATGTAATTTTATATTTTCTCTATAAAACATGGAAGATATAAGAACAGAATAAAGATTATATATTTTTGTTTTATTTTTTGCATCTTCTCAATATTTTTGTGCAATCATTGTCTTTTGCACTTTTATAAACATTAACGAAATAAAATAACAAATAATCATAATTTGTTATTGATTAAAATATGAATATACCATCATCTTCAACAATACAGTTGCAAATGTAAATTTAATAACATTTTCCGAAACATCTGATGAATTATTATTCATTTTTTTTAGTAAATCTCATAATTTAATAATAATAATAATAATAATACTCGAGATTGTCGTTTGCAACTGTTATAGATTTATTGAATACACTTGTATGATGATTTAGTCATGAGTTTCAATACACATCTTTTACCTATTTAAAACAAGAAATTTTTTTCTTTACAAAAAAATATCAAATTTTATTCGTAGATGAAATAGTTCAGTAAAAAAAACCATAATACATAAAAAAATAGTTTTATCTAAATAAAACAAAAAACTATATACACAATGCTAATTGAGGTTGTACAAAATGACTGGAGTTGTTTACATATTCATCCTTGGTTCAAGTTCCTTTCCTTCTTGTATTTCACCCCAAGCAATTAATCGATAATGTCCATTAATACGACGACTTAATGCAAGTTTTTCATTAATTTCAGCACATACTGGTTTAGTTAATTGAATTTTAGCTAAATCATCTTTTATACCTAATACTCGACCACCAGTAGATAAAGATCCAATATTGATCAATAACACTTCAGTTTTATATAATTTGCTTATCTAAAGAAAAAAAAACAATAATAACAATTCTCTACAATGATATTCTAATTCATCAGAACATCATAAGTCTAAAAAAGCTGTCTCAACCATTATCTACATTAGTTGAAATAAAAAATACACATACAAACCTTAGGAGGTTCATTAGAAGAATAACAATGTACACCAAAAGCACGTCGAAGAAGAAAATATTTTATTGTAATTTCTGTATAAATTTTTGGTAATGTATCAATTTCGCCAAGTATTTGACCAACAAGACGATCAGCACGATATAAAGTTGGATCAATTTTTGTACCAACACCTACAAGAAAAAAGATTCAATTAATAAAATTATTATAAACAAATTTTTATTTTACCAATAAGACCACCAGGCACAGCAAACGTAAGTTGATTTTGTTCGGCATAAAGTGAAGTAATTTTTGATTTAATAGGACAACATTGAACTTGACCTTTATCATTTGTAAATATTAAACCTGGTCGAATTTCAATTTCTTGATTAATCTATATTATTCATAAATAGAATTCTAGTATTTTTTTAAATCTATAACAGAAGAAAAAATAACTCACTTTAAGAACACCTTTTGAAATACTACCACCAGCAATACCACCTTTTAGATCGTCAACATTAGCACCAGGTTTATTGATATCAAATGAACGAACTACTATGAGATACACACAAAAAAAAACAAACAAATGATTGTTTCTATTAAAACAATATATTCTTTTTTTCACTCACTAGTCATTCTTGATTTAGAAGTAAAATCTCTTATAGGTATAGGAATTTTTCGTACTATATAATCACAAACAGTATCAATATTACAATTAAGTTGTGCACTAATTGGAATAATTGGAGCATTTTCAGCATTTGTATCTAAAATTCATATAGATTAGTATACTTTTTTCAAGGAACTAACAAATAAAAACAAAAAAAAATAAAAGAAATATTTATAATACCTTGAATAAAATCAAGAATTTGTTTATATTGTTTTTCTGCTTTAATTTGTCCGACAAGATCAACTTTATTTTGAAGTACTATTATAGATTTTAAATTCATTATATTGATAGCTGCTAAATGTTCAGATGTTTGTGGTTGAGGACAAAATTCATTAGCAGCTAAAATTTTCAAATAGATAAAAAGTTTTTTTTCTTTTTTGAAATTTTCATTTTACCGATAACCAAAAGAGCTGCATCCATAACAGCTGCACCATTCAACATAGCTGCCATGAAAGTATCATGTCCAGGACAATCGACAAATGATACATGCCGTATAAGACGAAATTGACCACCACATCCTGATCTATCACATGGAAATTGATCGCCGGTTTTCGAACCAATTGAACGATATCGTTCTGGTCTTGG